ATTTTTACATAATTGTGTCGCGAAACCCTAAGATGGCAAGGGACTTATTTGAACCCTTATCGGTATTCAACTTTGAAGGATGGATGTGCGAGTGGCACGCAGGGAGGTTACATACTCCTGGAAGACCATTCCTTTAGGGTAGACCACGGATGTCACGGCTTGGGTATATAACTCTAGGTGTGGGCATCCTTAGTAGTTCTTGAATATTTGACTAGGGGGCTTTCAAATTAACCATGGCCATAGCTTAGTGGTTGGCAATAAAATCTCACAATCTCTTTGGTGAGATTTTGAGTGTCACCTAAACTATTAAAATTGTTGAAATATTTTAATTATTGTTATATTATTATGCTATTAACTCCGCCATTTCCTCTTAATTGTCATGATTATTAATCTAATTATTTTCTTTTTAAAAAAATGGTAGGTTAGTTATGTTTTCTTAAATTAATTCCATACTTAAATTCTAAATCAATTCCATAGTCTAAATTTTATTATGAAACTAGACTTCTCAAATTTTATTTTTTATTTAGAAATTACCAAATTTGGTTTAATATAGGATTTTTAATGATTTTTCAAACATACAACAAAATCTGTCCATAGTTCCAGATTTAGTTAAAATTTTGTACAAATTCGTACAAAACCCAAATAATTGTTACAAAAAATCCTGGATGAACTAAACATTATTCTCAACAACTTTGTAGAAGAAATCATCTCAAAATTTTGAGTATAAAATTGTCTAAAAATTCGTACAACCTTCTGGCAGATTTAAGAGTTATATAATCAAAACCAAATAAAATCTTCAATCATCTCTCTAATGGCACAAACTACACATGCAAGTCAAATTTCACAATTATATCATGATTTTAAGGCTACTTAAACTAACTTTCAAATATTTAATATACAAATCACAAATTTACATGACTATAAACAAGATTTTATTTAAATTTTTGCTATGAACACAAATTCTAAAATTTTAACAATTAAAAAGAATGAGAAAGTTGAGAAGGGTTTCTTAGTAATAAGATTGAAATGAGTTGATGAAATGGTAGGAAAAATCTTCCTTAATCTTCTACTCTTCTTTTTCTCCCTATTTATCTTAACTTGCTCATAGAATTCCCTCCAATCAATTTGAGGAGGAAATGTAAACTGTATGTATTGCATATATATATGGACTCCTCACCTGAGAATCTCTCTCTTCTAATCATTTTGTTGAGTCAAATCGAATTTTCTAAATCCAAGAGATGTAATGAGGGCCTATATCCTACAATAACATGCATGTATACAAATGTCACCCAACACTGTCACCGAAAATCTGATTGATTTTTTTTTTTTTTTGTATTTGTGTGGGTTTTTAAAAATTAATTAACTGAGGTTTTTAGCTAAGATATTTAGTAAGGATTATTAAAATAAATTATAAATATTGAATACTCACAAAATTATTATTATTTTTTTTTATTAACAATGTTTTTTTGTTTTGTTTTTTGGTTATGGATTATTTGTTATGGATTAATTTAGAACTAACTTATACACTAATATATATATTAGATAGACTCTGGATAAAATTAATTTATTTATTTATTCATTCATTTATTTATTTACTTATTTATTTTCTTCTAAGAATAATTAAATGTGGGTCCTCACAAAGAGTGCATGAGGTATTCCAAACCCCAAATGTTAAAATTCAAGGAAACTAGCCTAGGCGCCAACCTGGGTCAAATGTTTTTTCAAACCCACTATATGGCCAAAAAGAGGTAGAAAACATAAATTTGTTTTAACACAGAATTTAATGGTTATCCTAATATGAGGCCAAGAACTAATGTGGTTTTTTTAAATTATAATCAAGGGTTTGAAAATGTTAGGTATGAAGAAGTTCCTAATGTGGGTTATGGAAATCAAGAAATCAATAATTTTGGGAATACGGGTGCATATCCTGAAGTGCATAGGCCTGACATGTACCATGAACCATTTGGTAATGGCCCAAGGTCAAGAGGTCCAGCACCCCCTTTACATGTTGACAAGCAAGAGCCTTTTGGACATGGATATGGGGGTCAAAATGTTTTCAATCATGGCCCTTTTGAACATAACTACGGGTATAAGGGGCATGATTTTTTGCCAAACATGGCTAACAGTGGCAAGCCATTAATGACTAAAAAAGAAAAACAGCCCCTTTTGACAAAAAATGATGAAAATCTATCACAAAATGATGGGGAAGATTTACTTCCGGGGGATGATTTTAAGTACGGGGGGGGGGGGGGATGATTTTAAGCCAAACATGGCTAAAAATCATGAACAACCCACATTTGTTGAATTTGAAATTTTTGACACGGTTAATTTTGTCAAAAGTTTTGATTTTCTAAAACTATTTGATGTTATGGTTTCTGTTACCCAACAAACACCATGGGTTTGTGGTTCACATCAAAAATTGATTTTAATAAATTGGTTAACAAAAATAATATCTTATTCTTGTAAGTTTGATGGAATAAAAAATGACCATATAAAATAACCCAGGCCAACCAATAATGGCTAATGACTAATTATTTATACTTTGCATGAAGGCCAATTTAATGGCCAGTTGTTTAATGTCTACGCATCAACAGAAAACTAACTGATTATGCAAAATCGACAAAAGTAAGGGCAAAAAAAAATTTTGCCGACTAGTTTGTTGGAAGAGCCACTGCCAATATTGATTGAAGTGAAAGTATGGCAGTGATACCTTAAACAAGGAACCTTCGAATAATGACGACCACGTAGAACTCCACAAAACATGTTAGTATCTTTTGGTTTCAAAATTTTTGCTAAATGTCATGAGTGTGGGCATACACCTTGTTTTAGTAAGTACGAGTGATTCCATTCTTAAAGAGTTGGGGGTATTGTTTGCACCATAAATTTAGTCTCATTGATTGTGGCCTGTCAGTTATGGCCAAAATAGTCTATGAATTTTAGTAAATATGAATTGTTCCAAGTTTTGCCTTTTATATCATTTAAGGCAAAATTCACTTTTACCTTAAATGAGGGGGGCATTGTTCGCACCCATTTTCGTAAAATTCCTATCAATAGGTGGATTAATTGAGTGATGACACATGGCAATGGAGTCAGAGTGAAAGTCTTCCATTGATCGGAGGGACAGGTGGCATGAAGAAGGTGATCGTGTGCATGAAGTGGTAGAAGTAACCTTGGATCAGTTACCAACCAGTTTGTGGCTTAGTGGGCTGGTTTGTAGGAGATGATGCTTGCAACTGGGGGCTTATTCTTTATCGATGTGGTGCTCAAAGTGATGAGGGGCATGTGGCAGCATGGAGGAGAGTTGGTTCGACAGGAAGAGTTGAAGGATTGGTAATGTTTGAAGGCTTGGAAGTGAGGAGATAGTTACAGTAGTAGCAGTTAAGAAGTTGCAAGTTTGAAAGAGTCATATGATCATGGGCCAAAGAAAGAGAAAGAAGATATAAAAGCAAAGAATTTGCAGAGAGAGGATCAACAACAACACAAGCAACTTAGTTTTAGACTTAGCATAATCTAGGAATAACTTTCTTAGTTTAGAAGTAGTTTCTTCTATAATTCAGATCAATGTAAACTTTTGTGAACTTTAGTAATTTCATCTTGGAATTACTTTTTGTTTACTTTGTTTGCTTTGTAACTGTTACCATCAGTTGATCCAAAGAAGTCCTCATCCTTTTGAGGCATTCAAACCAATACCACAATTGCTTGAGTGTTCCTGTTTAATTGTCTAGTTTAAGATTATTGCTTGGTTGCTGTCGATCTAGCCCCAGCATAATTTTTACTACTAGTAACGCATCAAATGTGAACTAAGTAATGTTCAACTCCTGAGAGTACGCACCCTCTTTTTAAATGATCACTAAATCAGTGCACACTTGTCACCTGCTTCAGAATAAAATGAAGAACTAAGGCAAAAATCTATGAGAACTGCTGTTTTCTTTTTCCTGATATGTATGAAAACTGCCACTTCTGATATGATTGATCATTTTTTGGAACTGCTAAACAAAAATACAGTTTCTGGCAATTAATATTTATCATAGTAAGAATATACTAAGTTCTTTTCCAAGAAAAACATGTGTTTATGTTCAAAGAAGAATTAACTTGCCAAAGGCTGCTTCTTTCAAACATAGATTTTTAAACATCCAGGGGTCAAAAAGGTTGTAGTGTTTTGACATCCAGCATTCTAACTAGTGTTGGGTAACAATGGAGGAAATTTAAAGTTGGGTTAATTACAAAGGGAAAGTTGGTGGACCATGGGTTGAATGTTATAGCATGGCTGTGAACTCTTGGCAAGATCCTGCAAGGTTTAACTCTTAGAGGACTTTCAGAAAGCTGATGCAGAAAAATAGGTGGCCCATAAATAATTCAATTGATACAACCAAACTAGAAGGCATGGACAGAGAATCTCCAGAAAATAACTGTTCATGCAACTTGGAAAATATTCTGCTACTACCAGTCTCTTTTCTTCTTTTAACCATTATGTTATTTGCTTGTATTGTAAAGCATTCATTGGATGTTAAAATTTTGTCAGCAATAATTGCTTTTTATTTTTCCCTTCAAAAAAGTGGTTGGACTCTTATGATGTGTTTATCCCATATTCTAGAATGTCGGGAAATGATCCTATTAAGGGTTGGCAAAGCATATGAGAAGTGTTAGCCAAGCACTGGAATTATGAAATTGTTTCTAAATTATGGACACAGACTAAAAACGGGACGCATGTCTAGGTGTGTCCAAGAAGTATTAGTGTCAAACATGTCTAACGTGGACCAGCTCCTCTATAGCAAGTGTCCACGTAACTTAGATGCCAACTGCATCTCTCTATCTCATCCAAATTCCCTATTTGTATGAAATTTTCCAGTTTGTAAAAGGATGAGGATTTAATGTATGATAGCTACGGCTGATGGGAACATGTATACATATACACACTTAGCATAAGTATGTTGGACTCTCAAACCTTAATTATCCTGTATGCTAGCCATTTGAACATTTTATAGGAGTCAAAGCAATACCTGAAAATGCTGATTATGCTCCTGCACAACATTCATCTTCTCTAGCACAACCACTGGTCTACCAACCATATCCAAGTGGGAAAATTTTGTCTGCATCAAACCAGAAGCAACATAAATAGAAGAGAACATTTAGGGGAAAGTGGGAAAATTTTGTCTGCATCAATACCTCGTGCCACTGTTTCACAGGAAATGGGACAGAAACTAAAATATCCCTTGATCCCTCGGGCAAAACAACCTTCAAGCAAAAAATACCACGTCAACACTATGGATACATAACTTTCAACAAAATCCACTCTGCAGTTCATACTTGTAAGGCTTCAATGGTACGTCAATACAATCACAAAACTCATCATACAGCAGCTCAAGAGTGTAACCAGTAGTGATGAAATTTAACAAATGTATTAGGATAGAGATACAGTATACCTATAGTCGTTCCTAAAATCAATAAATTAGGATAGATAGTTATTCAAACAAGATATAGCTTTAAAGTGTGCGGTTCAAATTCAATTCAACTTTTGCAACAAAAGAACACCAAAAGAAAAGGGGAAAAAAAAAAACTGAAACCAGTATTCATTTTATTGCAATTGTCATTGAGCTCTCAGGCTGGCCCAAACATATCAAAAGAAATGGGTAAAACGAATTAATTATTTAATGTGTGTGTGTGAGCTTCAATAAGGCTAGACCAAGCTTGCGATGAGTGGGCGACCTTTAGCATAAGCACTAGCTGAATGCAACACAAACCCATCCCAGCTTGCAGCCCAATTTTGAAGAAGGTTTCCAGATTATAGTAGCACAAACAAATTATCATTGATTCTCATGCCTGAAGAAAGGGCCATCTTAGCAAGGAAAGTATTATGCAGTTCTCAAATTTTTGTTGCTTAGTAGGAAGAAAAAAACACAAAAATGTTCTCCAATATAGAGCTAGCTTGCTTTGTTTTTACATATTGGGAGGTCACTTCCCAAAATAAACAAAAAGAAGAAAAGAGAAAAGTAATAAGATCAGTTCAATTAAATAAAATGCAGACATTGCAACAATGAAATTACAATCCTTCAAAAACTATGTGTGACAGTCTATACATAGAACTACTTCCAGGGTATCCCTGATGCAACTCCTAGAATAATTTTTGAAGTTTTGACCTAATTTCATACTGTTGAGGAGGGGATTCAGATATATATTACAGAATATCAAAAAAATGTTACCTTCAGAATGAGATTGTCAATGACCAAATCATTAATTGGACAACCAAAAGAGAAATTCAGAAAACGTTTCCCTTCTGTCTGAAACAAAAAGTCTTTAAGTGGCAGGCCATACCCAATGGTAAAAGAAGTTTTCCAACCACCAAAAATTGGATATCTGGGTTCAATTTCTAGTTGTGTCTGCAATTAAAGAGAAAACTTGAGTAAAACATCAGAAACAAAAACGAAGACTTCTTTCTCTGCATAAATCAAAATTTCTCACCTTTTTTGAATCAACCCATAAATGAGATGTTGAAATATTTCCAATTTCATCCCTGTAGTAAACGGAGTGAGCTCTTGGTGGCAATTTGGCAACAAGATGCCTAAATGCTGACGCACCTCTTACATGAGGCCTGGCCTGATAGTCCAGCCTGCAGTATTCAAACAGTATAGCAGAATAAAATCCCCTAATCACAGACACCACCAAAATTATAGACAAATGAAGAAAACATGTAAATACCTGGAAAATTCCCCCATGCTTTGGGCACCTCCATGGATAAGGTTGTAATGTTCAGTCACCTGTACATTACCCCAGTGCGAAATCTCTATCTCTCGCACCAACTCTTGAGCAACAGCAAAGGGCTGATTGTTTTCAAAGTGAACTATTATAGATGAGTATGAGAAAGGTGGTCGGTTCTCATATGGGCCATATTTAATCTCCGAACCAGAAACCACAGTGTTCTCTATTTTTGTATAGGATTCGAGTTTTGGATCAGAGGGCAATTTTACACTAAGTGATTGGACCTTGACCGCATAAGGAGAAAGATAGTATGCACTATCCTGGAACACAACAAACTGATTTTCAGCTTGAGAAATTTTCTCAGGAAATGGTCTCAGTGCATGGGTGAAAACAGCCAGAACATCTAAAGTCAATCTCTCCCCTTTACCCAGCCCCTTGGGTAGAGATACAGAATACCATATCAGGCCTGGGGGCATCTCCTTAGGATGGGCAACTTCAATAGGGAGACTGGCAGCAGAACTTTTTGCTTTTCCTTTTCCTTCATTAATTGTTGCTGCCAAATATGCCAAGTTCTTTGCCTGGTGTTCAGGGAAGGGCAACAAAACTTCTGACACTGGATCGGTTCCCAAATTTTCAACCTATATAGAAAGAATCATGAATAATGCAAACAAATTAGTTCACAAATAGTGGTTTCAAAATTCAAAAACAGAATTGACTTCTTAAAAATGAAGATTCATAACTAAAAGGGAAAAAAAAAAATGTGATGTCAAGAACCTATATAATGGAGCCAAAGAAAAAAGGAGGGATCCTACCTTTAATGTGGACGTGATACGTACAATTTGCGATGTCAAATCAACCTGCAACAAAAGGATCAGAGGTAGAGGTAGGTTGAAACTCAGATCAAAAAAACATGCAGTGAGAATTGAACTTTGTTCAACAGCTTGTCAGGTCACAGCTAGGAATGTCTATTGTGACATCTCTTGAGCTCCAATTTTGGCATAACAAAAAGATAACACCAGGTAAAAAGTTTTAAGATAATGACATTTTGGAAATGCGAGGGTATAAAAAAGTACGCAAGTAACCAAAATCCAATAAAGATGTCTTTTAATTCAATCCTTCTCTATCAGTCAAAGCCAAAGGATCCAAGTTGAACAAACCCGAACCCTCTATCAGAAAAATAGATCCCATTAATTCAGCATAGGTGGTTCTCGGTGAACCAACACAAATAAAGTGCTTAAGAATTCAACGAAGAATTAAACTATTAAAGACAAAAAGTAATTCTGTTAAAACATTTTGCATTAAGATGAGAAAGAGACTATTTATTTCAGCTAAAAAACAGGTGCTATACAAACTAACAATTCTTACAAACTTTTCTTACTTACTGATGCAATACCTGTCATATCATCCTGTTTCAGTTTCCAAAGTTTCATTAAAGCATGACACATCAGGTAAGAGCGTAAGTTTATAAGATTTGTTTGTTTGCATAGAAATTTCCTTATAGGGGCCAAGAGAGGCCATGTTTCTCCTTCGAAGCACATCCATGAAAACTAGTAAGCATTCAAATATTATTCTTCAATTCAACCACATTATCCCAATTAATGTGAGAGCACGTATTTGTGTACCAAACTGCATTCATTACGAATAACCCAAATAAGTGATCGTAGATCAAGTATTTAAAAAGTATTATCACACAAACACAGCCCAAACAAAGACAGATGAACAAGTACAACCATAAACCCTGACGATTAGCTCCAAATTCTTGCAAAGAAAGTGAACATATTGAGTTCGATCTTCATTCTAGGGCAATAAAACAAAACTAAATTGAACCGAATCGAACATGAAAAAACTAAAAGAGGATGGATTTGAAAGAAATGAAACCAAATTGAGTGGTTTTTTATTTTTATTTTTATTTTTTTATTACAAACAATATAATATGATCTATGAGAGAACTAAAGAAGGAAACATACCCGTCGATCAACCTTGGATAGGACTAGATCGGATAGACAAGGTGCAGACAGTAGAGCTATTGATAAGATGAACAGATCGAAACGAATCCCCATCTCTTCTCTCTCTCTCGGCTCTGGGGTTTGAGTCGGGGAGTGCAGTGACGGGGACTTCAGAAATAATGTGGCAATAAAATGGGTAAATTACACTCATCTTCCCTAATTTTTTTTATAATTATAGATACACCTATTATATTTCTTAAATTATACTTCATGCCGCGTTTTTCCTTCTTTTTCTTCAACTATTATCTTCTATAAACATTATAGCATCTTTTTTTAGTTGTAGCTTATAAGTTGTGTAATTTTTAGATTTATTTTTATTTTTAATAAAAGAAATTTCAACTTTACTTTGAGTCAAAATATGTTAAGTCATCTTTGTCCATCCTAAAAACTAGAAGAATAGAAATTTTTTGAAAAAATTTTTGAAAAGACCCCCTCCCCAAAAATAAAAAATAAAAAAATAAATAAAAGACTTTCTGACAAAATTGTAGGTAGCGTTTGGTTGTGTTTTGTAAATGTGATTTGAGAATATGAGTTGTATTTTGAGTTTGTGTGTTGTGGAATTATGATTTGAATGTAGAAAATTTGTTTGGTAAAGAGTTTTGAAAATAGTTTTGAAAAAGAGGTTTGATTTGAGTGGGGAATTATTGATGTGACATTTGATATGTGATACAAAAATTTACAACTCATAACTAAACATACAACTCAAAATTATTTTAAAGCACATAAAAAATTTAAAAATTTTCAGAAAATATTTGTCCCGATTATGTAAATCAATTGCAAAAAAAAAAAAAAAAAAATATCTGGAAATCAGCCGGACATCCGGGTGGACATCCGGGTGGTCTACCGGGTGGACAACCGGGTGGACAAAAAAGGCGCCTGTGCATCAGAGTTCTCTCTGCAGAGTGTAGAAAATTGATTTGAAAACGAAACCAAACATCATGCTCCAACACACGGGTAGAAAATTGATTACAGAGTACAACCAAACAGAGCCGTAGTTATTTTCATTTTTAGTAACCTGTTTTTTGCAAAATATTTTTAAAAAAAATTATGGTCATCCAGTGAAGGCCAAAAAAATAGACTTTCTCATAAAATTGCACTCCCAATTCTTTTTTGTCTCTCCCACAATTTTTTTTTTTTTTTTTTTTTTTTTTTTTTTTTTTTGGTGGGCAAGTATTTTACATTCATGGTGAAATTTTTTAAGATTAATTTGCTGTTTGTTATTTTGTACAAAAGAATTTTGTGTAATTCACTAATTCATGGGATGGAGGGAGCTTGAACTTTTGTATTTAAAAATAAAACAAAAATTCATAAGGGAAGGGGGGCTTCAACAACTTGTTTCACTCAGACGAGAATTTCAGTTTTAGGCTTAGGGATAAAACAAAGTAGGGGTCTGAGACTTTATTATTTGTCCAAAACCAAATGTCACAAGTAGCTGCTATGAAAATAACCACCAGGGATTAGAAAGATTTGCATCAATCCTGTCAGACCAAGCCTCCATCTTCACAAGGCTTGGCCAACCCTTTTTTTCGCAAACAATGCAATCCCGAATAGCCTGGAGAGTGCTTCCAATGTGATGCTCGCATAGCAGCTAACTATCATCAGGGGAGAGATGCCATGGAGGGCCTTGGCCTTATTGGGGAGAAGACGATGTTTTCTGATAAACGTTTGTAGAGTCATTCCAACAATTCAAACATCAGAAATAAAACGCTACACTGGAAGAAAGTCATAGAATCTGTGAATCTGCAAGAAATGCTAGGATTTACCGCAAGGTTTATGAATTGAGGAGAGCAATCATCTGAGGTTCTAAAATAAACCACCTTTGATACATGAAAAGCTCTGGCAAATTCAGTTCAAAACTGGTACACTAGATTTGCCTCTATAACAGACTAGGAGGAGTTACATAAAACAGATGCAAGAACAAAAATGTTAATACTTGACAAATTGGGCCCTCAACGAAACTCTGCTTCTCCATGCAAAGGAGGACTCCGCAAATATTTTGTACGACAAGTAGAAGAATAAGATATTTGCTTTCACATAGATAGACCTCTAATAGCCCACAAACCAGCTACTTTCCTTCTGGTGACATTACTTGCAAAAGCTCCAGATTCAGTTCAAATGTAGCCCCTGGCTGCAGAATGAACATCAAAATGATTTCAGTAAGCACTTCATTGTTGTTGTTTTTATCAATTTAAATAAATCCATCTGTTATATAACATGATTCATGAGTACTGAGTTCATGGTCCAGGAGAATGCATTGCAAGTATTGATTGAGATTCATCATGCATAGAACACATTGAAAGTTTGAACATGAGACAAAAAAATGTGATACCCACGGTAAAAATTAAAGAAATTAAAAGAAGCCATTGCACGCAATTGATAATATAGGATCAATGTTAATGTTTTAACAATTTAAATTTTCACTCTCATTAGTGACTTGTTTTATAATTTGTTAATCCCTTCACCTTTATATACTGTAAAGTCAAAAGTTAACAAATGAACAAAAATAATTGGTGTTTAAATTCAAAATAACACAATGATCACTGTTGTTAAGGGTTTACCGGAATTTCATTCATTCCCCTCTGGCCATACCCAGCCTCGGGAGGAACTATCACAATCCTCTGCAAGAAAGAATAAGACGAAGGCTGAGAGTGTCAGCGATGAGAGAAAAGAATATGCAAGAATGTAGTTCTGGGGTAGAATAGGGACAGTAAAGGGAATATAATCACCTTTCCCCCAACTTTCATCCCTTCAGTTACCAAATACATAGCAGCTGGGGGTTTTGGTGAAGCCTGTGCAGAGAACAAACCGTTTGGGTTGTCAACAAATTCACGTTTCCGTTCTTTTCCTGCGGGTGCTCCTACCTTGAACTCATAAGGCTACTTAAGAGTACAAATAAACATGAGTCAATAATTTATTCATTCATGTCAGAAGTCGAGGTGCACCATGGGGAGAAGATTTCATTATTTGACTATATTTTAAAAATTGTAAAAAAAAAATGATTGAAATGAGCTTGTGACATGGTTGTGGTATCGTACAACTTAATGATAAAAAGCTTTGCTAATGTCATATTTTCAACCATGTTTGTACCCAATATGTCAAGCATCAAATATGTTTGACATTCTTTGTCACTAAATGTACATTATTTCAAGCATTGATCTGACTTCCTTGAAGAGCAACAACAAAGACAGCTGAACTAATCGAAGGCATCAAAACAGAGCTACCATCTTGGTTTAAACCTCATATTAACAGACCAAGCAAAAGAAGTAAAAACCTGTGCAATGCTGCGATTTCCGGCTAAGAGTTTAGATTCTCGACTAGACACTACTGTAACACCCCGATAAAGACAGTCGAAATGCACCTGTAGAGAAGCCGGAGAAAGGGTAAGCTGAAATCCGTAGGACCAGTACATGAGAACTAGTGGTCATCAACTTCCATTACAAACAGACCTGAACTGTCGATCCCTTTTGAGCTGCAGGACCCTTTCCTTCAACAACATCATAGTATTTCAGCCCATCAGCTGCTTCAAAAAGCAACCAATTAATGAAGGAAAATGAAAATTATCTGTTTAACCACATCAACTACTTTCTAAAATGGCCATTAAATTTTAGTTACAACTTGTATAGTACTTAGTGATCATTCTGATATGTTTTTCAACATACTTCTGCTAGTATTTGTTAATTTCAGGTTAACAATATAGCTTTATATATGTGTGTACCTTCTTAACATTTTGTTTTTGCAATGTCAGTGTAAAAGTGATTGCTATATGATCTATTTGCCCCAAATTTTGAAGAAGCTAGAAAGAACTATCCTGGATGTTGATAGAGAACTCAATTTTGAATTGATGTACGTTTCAACTTCAGTTGATTGCAAACTGGCCACAGAATAATGGAAATTTCATATGTTTTTGGAAAAGTAATTTTCAGTGTGATATTAATGTGGAAGTGTAGAGTACGTATTCAAATAACAAAAGAACCTTAACAAGAACCTGTGTTGAACATCAGGAGCAAAGAAAATGACAATAAATCTATGGAATTATCGAAGAGGAAAATAAAAACAAATCCAAAAACATTACACCAGTAATGGGATTGTTAGTAGTTCGATCCAGGCCCCGGTTGGAACCAGCTTTTTCCTAGCAAAAGGGGGGGAACCAAAATGGTAATCACAAAAGCACAATTATAGAATTTCAATCCATCAAAAGCCATAGCAAGTCATGACATTAAGTGAATGAATTATCCAATAACTCATTGTTTCCCAAATCACAACATAAATTCTTCCGCAGAAACACATGGGTTTCAATTTCATTGCAAATTCACAAACAAGGAATTCCAAGAAATCAAAGAAATCCAAGAGGTACAGCTGCGAGAACACGAACACAACAACAGGGCAGAGAGAGGACTAACAAAGAGAAAGTAAAAGAAAAGAGAAGTGGAGAGGAAAGACTCACGAGTGGTGAGGTAGTCTTCCAGAGGGATGATCTTCTTGTTGCGCCTCTCTCTGGCCAGTGCAGGTTGGGGCAGCGAAATGAGTCCTCCTCCTCCTCCCAAAGACAGTGCGGAGATTAGAATTGCAGACCTTCTCGAAATGGGTATCATCGGAACAACAACAGTCTGTTTTGTTTGGTCCATGGACATGGTGATTTGTTTGGAACCGTGTACAGGATTCTTAACCGTCCATCTCCCCAAGGTCTGCACCGAAGCCATGGCCGTTGTCACACAAACACCCTCTCCTCAATAGATTGATTATACAAAAGAAACCCAGCATATCCTCCACCGTGGCACACTACTATTGGTGCGACTTTTCTTTTTTTTAATAATTTTACACAAAAAAAAAAATTGACATAAAATTTCGGGCACAGCAATGCTAGGTGGTCACAAATTTTGTGGCTTAAATGACCCGAAATTGTCAAAATGACGTCGTTTTTGGTGCAAAACGACACAAAATGACGTCGTTTTGACAGTTTCGGACCATTTGAGCCATAGAATTTGTGGCCCTCAAACATTTTTCTTTTGGGTAAAAGTCATAATAATTAGACTTAGGCCTTTTTTTGTCATAACCTAAAAAAATTAAAAAGTCAAAAAGTCACTATCTTATTTAAGTCACATCACCTCTTTACCACATCACTTCAAACTCAATCCATACCCAATTCATATTTTATAAAAAGTCAAAAAGTACACTTATTTAAATCATCTCAAACTACCCCTTAATTTCCTTCAAATTCTATTGAAAATAAGTCATAATAAATCCGTTGTTAAAAATAATTTTTTGTGACTATTTTTTCATATATCAGTAAAAATTGACAGTTAATGACTTTTTTTGGTCAGAGTTTTTATAAATTGTTGCTAATCAATAATTTTTTTTGTGATAAATTTTTTAAACTATCGCTAAAAGTTGAAAATTAGTTTTTTTTTTAAACGATTTTTTTAAAACTATCGCTAAAATTTATAATTAGTGACATGTTTTGTAGCAAAAATTTTAAATTATCACTGAAAATTAACAAATATTTTTTTAATAATATTTAATGAAAAATGACATTAATTCTCACAAAGGACTATTAAATAATAAACGTAAATCTCCTAAAAATTTTACAAAATTATGTAACAAGTTTGATTTTGTCACTTTAAAAAAAAAACTTGTTAAAGTGATTTATATTTTGAAAAATGTAATTGTCACATCATTTCATTAACATTATTAATTTTATCTTTCATTTATATGATATGCAATGCCATTATAAAAATCAGTTCCGATTGGTAACTCGAAAATAATAAGGCTCAAATGATCCGAGTTCAAAACGACATTGTTTTGAATTTTTTTTTTTTCTTTTTCTTTCTTGAAGAAGATGAAGGTAAAGAAGAAAAAGAAGAAGAAGAGACAAGAAAGAGAGAAGAGAGAGTTGGGGAACAGAGTGAGAGAGAGATACACATCATCATCAACAACAACATCTTCATCAACATCATCATCATCAACAATTTTTTTTATTTTTTATTTTTTTCCTTCATATTCAGATCCAGATCTTAAAAAAAAAAAAAATAGAGTCTGAAAGAGGCGATCAGCGGTACCCACCGGCGCTGCCACCGATAGAGAAAGAGAGACGCTGCCATCACCGTCGATCTTCCTTCTCTTCCTCCCCGCCATCACCGCCATCACCGTCTTCTTCTCTTCCTCCTCCTTCTCTCCATCTTTTTTCCTTCTTCTCTTCCTCCTCTTCCCCTTCGTCTCTCTCGTCTCTCGTCTCTTTTCTCTTCCTCTTCTCTTCTCTCTCTCTCTCTCCTCTTCTCTTCCCTCTATCTGTATTCAAAAGAAAGAAAAAGAAAAAAAAAAAAGAGAAAAAAGAATACCCAAAACGTTCGAGCCTATTTCAGGCCAACTTTTTTGAGCTATGAAGTGTTATTGTATAAAAATTGTATACTGTAGTGTTTGATTTTTTTGATATTCAACTAGTATAGTTTACTAGAGGCGATTCATTTTATATGAAATTTTGATATACAAACAATTGTTATTCAGTAAAATAAAAGAAAATGTGCTTAAGAAATTAGTAGCTAGGATGGGTACAAGATATTTTTGTACATTTCAATTTGTATATTGAAGATTTGAGAAACCAGTTAGTAGCTAGGATGTTGAATGACATGGGTACAAGTTGTTCTTGAAGTGAGATTTACAAATATAACTAAACCCCCAAGGAAATGTACAATGTAAAACAATAACCAATTTGTTTCCTAATTGTTGCGCTAATCTACAATTCCAATCAGTATACAAGCAATAACAATAAGCTTGTTTTCCATGACTTCAACATCATTCACATTTTCCACCACCACCTTCATCGCCACAATCATGGGCCCGTTAGCAAGTCACGGGGGATGGATTTACCACACAAGAATGTCCATGTGGGCAACTATGCTGGCGGCAGTTTGTTTAGGGGAGGGTTCCATGTCCGAGTTTGGGGGAATTCTGAGGTGAGTCACCGGGGCTCCCACCTAATGTCCGAGTAGCAGCAGGCTCTGTCTTCCCGTCGTTCTTTTTCTTCAAAGCATTCTTATGCCAGTTCTTCAGAGCCTTGGAAGTTTGATCATCAAATATGGACCTCTTCATAGTTGATCCCATCTGGAAATTCCCAACAGAAATATGATGAGCCTTGTGTCATTTGAAGTCAACATGAACTATATATCAGGAAAAGAAAATTGTTATATGTAGCTTGTTTTCGGGCTTCTCTGAAATTTGTGTTTTATGTATTGTAATTAGATCTAATATGGTGTATAGCGATGTTGCTAGAGTTGGTCATGTAGTAATGGTTGACAGGTTTATGAGGCAGTTTGGTCATTTTGATGGCAAAATGGTAGTTTAAAATCTGTGAATCCAAAGTAAGGTAGGAAATTTAAAATCTTATTTAATATATTCTGCTTTCTCGCATATTAAAATTTTGCTCCCAAAAGAATAAACAACAAACAAAAATGATTTCAGTGAAGCAATTAGTTTGTACCTGAGTGACGAGGGCATATAACGGAAGTGTAATATAGCTGCACACAATTTGAACTCCTATCCTGCAGAATCAAATATATATGCCCTTTATTAAATAAGAATATCATATTGATAATATGAATTAATCTATGACTATCTAAATTACTAGAGTCATGAATCTGAGTTCTGCAACTTTACTTCCAACCAAGATCAAAACACCTCCTCGGCAGAATGACTTCTGATGACAATGAAACGTTCTTGTAAAAATATTTTAGCAACTTTGACTAAACTGATTATTACACACTTACCCAAGACCAACTCTGAGTATTATAAGTGTGAAATTCTGATGAAAGCAAGATTTCAACCCGAACTCATACTGCACATAATAAAACATTAATTCACCAAACCGATTATAGCATAGAAATAATGAAGAAGAAGAAAGAGGAGCAATTCATTACCCATATCCAAAAAAAATATGTTATCTCGAATGCATTCTGCAGACACAAAAAAAGATAACGAGATTGTTAGAAAAATTTGGAAACAACAGATACTGGTCCTCATAAGTAATTTGTATCTGCTTTTCAAAGAAGAAGAAGAAGAAGAAAAATAAGAACCATTTTCTCCACTCAATGCATGCCACCCCTTTAAGAAGAGGAAATTGAATACCTGAAAGAGAGTGATATGGATGAGATGGAGAATTAACTGAGGCCAGCCAAACCAAAAATGTCTGTCGGAGACTTGCACGAGAGGTATGCCTTGGACTACGGCGTGTCTTTCTTGGATTTCGACAGCCATCTGAGTTATAATTGCTTGTAGCTTTGTTCCAACTGATAGGACAACCTTTAACGAATTCAATGGTTAATCCTTTTATTTCTTGAACTAAAAACAACATAATGAGATATTAGAACAAAAGTTTCTTACAATTAGAGGCATAATGGACAGCCAAAACATAGCCTGCCATCCTGCAAGAAATGACACAAATTAAATGATGACGTCCCATTTCAAAACTTAAATGCTAACTATGTATGGTACAATCTTTGCACACAAAAAAAAAAAAAAAAAAAAAAAAAAGAAAAAGGAAAAGGAAAAAAAGGAAGGTTAATCACCAAAATGAAAAGAAAGAAGAAGAAGAAGAAGAAGAAGAGACCAACTCACCGGCAACATTGAGAAGCAGAAAGATGACTGCAGAAGCCCATAATACTGGGCTGAGGACATCATGAATGTAAGATAGCACATTAGGACATTGTTCCAAGCCGAAAATAATTTCTGAAGGAATCCGCAAATAACCAGACATACAAACAACAATACCTGATTCCCACAACTACCTTGAAATCGTCTTCTAGTGACCTTTTGATATATTTTTGAAAGTCAAAGTTACTTCCAGGTGCTAAATGAACCTAAAGAAATAACATAATAAATCCACCAACTATAAAGAATACAAACACAATTTTGAAGTTGCCACATTAAATTCTTATCCCAATAAAAGAAGTATTCTTGCACTGAAGAAAACTCACAGAGACGAATCCATGGCGCATGGTCAAGTAGTCAGCTTTACGAACAGACCTGATGAATTGCCGAAAGAAGGATGCCTGAAATGGTTGAATTAATTCAATTCATTTTAAGAAACAACTCCTCAACAAGAAGAGTTGCTATATTTTAGAAAGAAAACTTGTGTCAACAATTTTATTGAACTTAATATTTTTCACTACATGAGTTGAGTCTAAAGTAATTGGGTGTATGACTAACTAGTTGCAAGGCTTCTTTAAGTTGAAGCTGAAAAGTTGCTACTGTATTAAACGTCACTAATTAATACTTAACACTCTAGTGTGCGATCAGTTTTACTATGCCAAATTCATTATGCTAAAAAAATTAAATGAAACAACAAGATCTAGCATCTTTCTTACCAAATAAAAGAGGACTGGCGTTTTGGTCCAGAATCTCATGTGATCTTTCACAAAAGATGTCTCGTGGGTTAGCCTGAATCTTGTAGGATCTGCACGATAGGCGTTGTTTATCAACGAACATGGTAGGAGAAAAAGCAATAATATGACAAGGGGATTCTTAGAAGTGAGAGCAAAAATTTTAATGGGAAGATAAGATAAACTTATTTTGTTATCAAACGTTTTACCATTGTATTCAGAGTCATTAACCATTTCATGCTCCCATTCCTTCCACCCACGTATCTGCATGTAAGAAAACTTAAATCAACAATAAAGTGCAGATCACACCATGTATAAATTGAATATCAGGATAGAAGGCTGTGAAATTTGGTAAGGCCTCTAGGAAGGCAATCGTGATAGTTTCAGCATGTAGTTTTCCAAGGATAGTATAAGGCAATCCAAGGTAATTTTGAAGTCTGAACCCCTCATGTCACTTTTATTCTGCTATTCCATATAAATAACAAAACATGAAGTATTAGAACAGAGACACTCAAAGCAATTATCTGAAACTCACCTTCAATCTCCCAAGCATCATTGTTATTGCGCTGTATATAACATGAAAGACTGCCAAAAAGAATATGAAGATGTGTAACTGATGTAATCCGTGGACAGATATAAGTGGCACGTACCCCTATTGATAAGAAGTGCATTAGTCATGACATGGGAAGAAGAGACCTTCATGCAATCAACACAAAAACAATAATATTATAGTTGTTAACCTTGACAACATAATAGTTGGAACAATCTGCATAAGAGTTCATTGTTTTGTTTCCGAAAACACGAAAAACAAAAATGACAAATGAAGAACACAAAAACACAACTAAATAGGCCCTAATGGCCCAAGGCATATCAATGTATCAGACAGACATCAAACAAAAATCATTTTCTGGATTTCAAAGGTACTGCCCCACAAACAGTATCAATGAAACTACATGTGGTCAACAATGAAAAACCTACATGTAACATGACTTATTTTGTAGAAAGTTAAGCACTTGTTTAACACTTGAGAATTAAATCTTTCCCAATAAATATATATGCCCTCATTGGCTATCTTCTTCAGTCTCCTTTTCTTCCTTCCATAACCTCCAACTTGCATCATTTTCACCCATTCCTAATAACTTATTGGTTTTCTACTGACCCACATAATCATGCTCTTAAATCCAATATCTAATCATCCCTAATGTTGATAAAAAAACAGAACCAAAACAATTAGTCCACCCATTTTTGGTTCTTTGCACAACATCCACCTGAATCGCTCTCCATTATGTAGAATACATTCTGACCATCCTTTTCACAATCCCATCCCCTCAGTAAACCAGCATGTGGAGTAGTTCAAAGGCCAACTCACATAGCACGGCCTCTGCAAACAAGCTATAATAATAAGATGAAAGGTACACTAAATTGCAGGAGGAAGGATATTTAGATGGACAATTGAGGTTCAAAACTTCGAACCAGGAAATCTGTGATTTCATACAACATTGGCATTCACTGAATCAAACTTCAATCTAATGGTTTCAAGCTTTCATCTGAACTAGCCCTAGTGTGTGAATGGGGCTTTTAAACCATTTGCCTACAGGAAATGGTAATGTTGAGACATGGTCAAAATGGAGCAAATTTGGCTGGGGATGCGTGGGTGATGAAAGAAAGAGAACATATAATGTAGTTCTTCTATTAGTCTTTTATATACATATCTATATCAACGTCAAGTTATCCACAAATTGAATAAAAAAGAAGTTTCATCTTGAAATTTGTTCAGTACTTGAACCTTTGAATTCCCCTTTTTCTATAAATTTAGTGCATATGCATAAGATATACTTGAAGATACAATCTTTTTGTTGCAACAAACCAAAAAGTGTGGGTGATGAAAGAAAGAGAACATATAATGTAGTTCTTCTATTAGTCTTTTATATACATATCTATATCAACATCAAGTTATCCACAAATTGAATAAAAAAGAAGTTTCATCTTGAAATTTGTTCAGTACTTGAACCTTTGAATTCCCCTTTTTCTATAAATTTAGTGCATATGCATAAGATATACTTGAAGATACAATCTTTTTGTTGCAACAAACCAAAAAGATAAAAATCGAGATTTAAAAATCACCTTCTGAACAAGACACTAACCTTCTTGCACCCTGAAGCTGGACTATCACCTGCTAAAAATCTATGCTCATACCATAGAAGCCTCCTATGGTGTTCGGCCACATGTTCAGGCTCATGTTTAGGCTCAAGAGGCAAATTATGTTCATCAGGCACATGTTTAGGCTCATGAGGCGCATTAAGCTCATCAGGCTCATGAGGCAAATTAAGCTCTGGTCCATGGTGCTGGGGAGGATGTTTCATGGGGCATGGCAACATTGTGTCTGCGAGCTTTATGGGAATACAGATGTTGGCAATGTAGTGTTGGCCAAATGTCAAGAGTAGGGAAATAAATCCAAGAACCATAAGCTCTGCAAAAATTAATCAAGAAGAAGATAGCTTACTAAGAACAAGAGAAACACATGAAAAAAATCAATTGCAAAAACCAACAACCCATATAACTTCATAACTATTTTAAAAGTATTATATCTTAGGATCAATCAAGTGCTCATGTAGTTACCGGCTTTAATTTTCTCGAGCGCTTCCAGCATAGGTTTCTTGCGTCTTTGCCTAAACCACTGAAAAGAAACATTGTTTCTTATAGGAGAGAAACCAATGAAGAAACTAAAAATAGATGTGAAACATAAAAATTCCAAGCAGTAGAGATTTGATTTTTTTATTCTTTCATTGTTCAGTCCAGCATTAAGAAAAGCTTTCTGTGTGAATTGAGTTTTGAACCCAAAATTCATCGTATGGAAAAGAAGAATAACTCTTCAATCTGATCGTTTTCCTTAGCAATCCACCAACTTATGGATGTCATTTTCCAAAACAGAAACAAAACAGTTCTAGAGAAACAATGTGTTACCTTGAGTAGTTTTGTCAGAGAAGGTTTACATCCTTTTCTTTTCTCGTACTAAACAAAGCAATTTCAACAGCCCCAAAAGAGAAGAAAACCAGAACTTCACGCCACCAAGAATTACAAATTTACAATCTATCCAACATGCAGATTTTATATATATATATATATATCAACAAATTTCAAACACTGAAAAAAATGAAGATTACCTAATCTCCCAAAATTGAAAGGAGAAAAAAAGAAGGGAAAAAAAAAAAAAATGGGCATCTCTTGAATTGTTTAAAAGAAAATTGTTGATAAAATAAAACAGCATTGTTGACAGAAGAAGAATAATATTATAGAGAATTACCTCACCAACGTGGTGTAGAAGTTTCTCCAACAAAATAGAGATTAGAATGATGACCGCACAAACCAATGCTACTGCCCATGTCGGTGTCTGATCGAGCTCCCTTCCATTAGCATCTCCTCCTCCCGCCATTTTCTATACCTCAATTCAACACCTTCACACATACAAACACGTACACACACACACACACACACAGAATCTATATCCTAGAAATCTTTGAAAAAAAATATAAAAAAAACTAATGTATGACAATGTGTGGGTATGGTGGCTCCTGATGAACAAAGGACCATTGTGCTGGGTTTTGACTTGATGATGTTGAGAACGGTTCGATTTTTTCTTTATTTTTTTTTCCCCCTTCTTTTTCTTCTTCTTCTTCTCTGTTAACGGAACTGAAACTGGCTTGTACGGACAGATTTTGAAGAATCTACACATCCTATATGTGAGAGAGGCTGTCTAGTTTTTGGTGGTCTATGCGTATTTGTAGGAGCTTTGTTTTGGTAGTTCCCATGGTGTATCTTCTGACTTGTCATCTTTTTTTTCCTTTTCTATTTCTTTTTTATTTTTTTATTTACATTTTATTGTAAGGCATATTTTATGAAACAGGAGTACAAACACAGCCTAATATTGCAACACATATCCTAAAGGATTATAACTTCTAAGTTTCCAAATTTTCTTTAATTAATTTTTAATTTCAATTACATATCTATTTATTTTCTTATAACCGGAAACTATATCCTAATTAAGATTTTTTGAGCCCCATCCTATGACCTAAACCTAAGATGAGAGGGATTGACAAAAGTCTCGAATCTGAATTGGATATCCAATGTGATCTTTACAACCCATGCAATGGAAGCATAATCCCATTCTGTTTTATTTTCTTTCTCCTTCTTCGGATAGAATTTCAACCCAACTAGAACTCTTCGGATATTAAATCAACATCAAATTTTAACTTAAAAATAACTCTTTGGTTTTTCAGGACAGACATAGACATTGGTGCCAATCTGAAGCGAAGAAATACACATGATGGCAGTCATTGTTGACGATCTTGTTCTTGAGATCATATCATACTTGCCTCTGAAATTTGCAGTTCAATGCAAGGTTTTAAACAAGAATTTCAATGCTCTCATCTCCGATCATCACTTTGCTGCGAAACACACAATCCAATCACCTTCTCGAAACTTCACTACTCTCTTTCATTGCTCTTATATATGTCCTAAAATCTTCTATAACATCCTTCTCAACCCCCCTCCTCATCATGCTGTGAATATTCCAGGGCGTTCTGTAACCTTACCTCTCATAGTCCCAATCTTGGCTTCATCCAATGGCCTCCTTCTTCTCCGGTTTTCCAATGCCGATGTTTACTGCGTCTGCAATCCAATTACAATGGCGTACCAATTGATATCGTACCCATCAGATTCATCTTTTGGCGGACATGTTGGATTGTCAGTTGAACCAAACACATTCATCTTGCCTCAATACAAGTTGGTTGCCATTGCGAGCCGCCAAGCATTGTTTGAGCAACTGATTCAATATGAATTTCACATATTCGCATCAGATGCAAGTTCATGGAGAAAATCCAAAACGATTGCTTATGAAGACAGTGAGTTTAAGAGTTGGCAAGCTTCGATTTCATATGAAGATAGTGAGTTTATGAGTTGTCAAGCTATTTACTTAAATCAGTGTTTGCACTGGCTTAGAGAATGTGGCGACATTGTTGCATTCCACACAGAGAAGGAACTGTGTCACGTCATTAAGAAGCCTCCACAGTTTGAACTTGGAGAGATTGTATGGTTTGGAGTTGCTGAATGTATGATTACTATAGTCTCTTCTTTAAAGGAAGAAATAGTAATTCGCAATTACAAAAATAAGAGTTGGATGATCAGAGCCAGAATCACTAACATAGCTAGCCCAGAGGATGATTACAGGAATGGGGTTCCAATCCTATTCAATGGTGATCGGCTTCTTTTGCAACTACGAGCCAAGGGGATTGATGGGGAGATTCATATGTATGATCTCAATACCAGCTTGTGGAGGAAGATTGGAATGGTGCCGGGTCTTATGGATTCAGTTCAAGTTTTTGTCCATTTTGTTCCTACTTTAGCAAAGGTCTCAACTATCAACCATGTTCCCTGCGAAGGAACGACAATGTCAAGTTCACTGCATGAAATTGCACAAAGCATCTGCATGTTGAGCAAGCTTCTCACTTAATTTTGAAAAATTCTAAGTGGACAGGTCACAGAATCGGATACAAACCATGCCACAGGCAATTATGAGTTGGCTTCAAGACAATTAGGATAGAAGTATAAATTGATTTTAGGACATAGGCTGACAAAGGTTTTGTTTGGTTGTTTGTATAAGCTTTATTTACTACTAGATTATAATTTAACTCAAAGCAACAAATTAACTTTCTTTTCTCAATGCCATTGATCATTGAATTTTTGACTGTGAGCTATGAGAATGTCCTGAGTTGAGATTTTATTTTATTATTATTACTATTTTGTAACACTAGCATAATTTATTTTAGATTCTTTGCCTATTTCTTATTTTTCTTGCCATGAAATATTGCTAATTAATTGAAATATTGCTATATATTGGTAGTATCATTTTTTCAACAAGCATGGATTTTTCAATGATAGGAAAAGTATTATCTTTTATGACAAAATGAAAGGAGGAAATAAAGTTATTGAGAAGGCTAAATTCAAGCAATACATTTTATCAATACTGAATTGAATGGTAAAGATACAGTTGGATAATATTGACAATCTAATCTTTAGGAAAAAAGAGATTCTAAATTCAGACACCAAAAACATTCCCATATAAACAGATGAACAACACTATATGATATTCGATGTTACATTTCATGGATTCCAAAGTTTATAAAAATGACTTACTCCCAACACTTGAAAAAGTAGGAGGATGAAAAAAAAAATGAAAAAGGCAACAAACAGACTATTAACATTAAGTGAAAAATCACCACTGAAGCCGATTGTACTGGATAGTTGACATAAACAACATATTAGGCAAACATGAATACAGAAAAATGTTTGAACATATAGATATATTATAGAGCAGAGGGGAGCAAATTTGAAAGTAGTTAGAAATCGACACAAACAGAATTCTGAATCCAGATGGGAAAGGTCAAGTTTAAAATTTTACCTAGTCTGAGGGTTTCTTTAGTTGGTTGGTTGCATCATCAGCCACATGTGGCTTATATACATATATATATTTTTTAAAATTTTAATAGGCTTGATAACCAACAATATATTATTGGCTAAAGATTTGAACTTAAAATCTTCAAGACTTCCTAGGCAGAGGGGTAAAGAATTTAAATCTAAATCCCAAAGCCCTCATTCCATTTTGTGTTTTTGGTGAACGATCAGGTTGTACCCACAGATAAATAAACTTATTTTAAAAACACCACAAATTCAATGTTTGTCATGTGTAATTGGCTCATCAGTAAATGTAGATTATTAGTGAAACTATTCATGGTAAATGACAAATCTATCTAGCCCGATGTGGCGCAAACATTGCTGCAATTTTTGTGGGTTTTCACAGTTTCTAGCAAGTTAGCAACCTAACAACAAAGTCTGACTTCCAAAACATGAAAAATCACAATCATTTGCAATATCGTAAAGGAACACAGAATTTATGAAAGGGATCTGAGTTATGTTACCATCTATGTAGCATAGTCTGGTCGATGATCCAATCACAAGCCTCTTAGTTGTTGGGGATTCAGGACTCTGTCTAAGTGAAGCAACTACAACTGCAAAAGAGCTATCAATAAGAAAATAGAACCACTTCAGTGGGATTGAGATAGAATAAAACAAAAGCATCAAGGTTTAAAAGAGAACATTGAACATCAAATTCTGAAGTGTCGATAAGCATTTTGCTTATGGTCAAGAATAATGAAAACATGATTGAACATACAAAGAAGAATTCAATTGTCAACTTTTTCCTTAATGAGAATTTGAAACCTATTTCATGTAATCAATTGGAGCACAAATAGCATAAAAATAAAAATTATTTCGAACATTAAGACCAATCCAAACATGAAAAAGGAATAATTAACAGGCCTAAGGCCTAAGTTGTTGTTGTTTTTTTTCTTTTTTGGGGGGGGGGGGGGGGGGTAAGTAAGGATCAATCAAAGTTGCTAGAAATAATTTATATAATTGGTGCATCTTTTTAGAAGTTTATTAACTGAGTGTTGTTAGTTTGCAATGATTCAGTCATTTCATCATAAACTTGGCTGCCAAAAGCAGAGATAGAGAGGTCCATATGCTTAAAAAAAAGTTGCTTAAAAAGAATGACAATAGTGTTAAAAGTGTTCTTCCAGTGAGTCTATGCAATAATGGACTTGATTTGAGAAAAAATTTTGCAAGCACAGATGCAGCAAAAAATGATTTGCCCAACAGTTATTAGACAGTTCTAGTTAAATAACAAAAAAACACAAAACGCCGTTGCCGGGGATCGAACCCGGGTCACCCGCGTGACAGGCGGGAATACTCACCACTATACTACAACGACTTCGTTGTTCAAAGCATTTCATTTTTAAAATTATAATTTTATGTTGGAATCCATCCACTTCAACATGCCAACCCGCACGAGTGGCAAAAAAAAAAAAAACAATTGAGTCTACAATCTTAAGTGAGAACAACACACTTTATGAATAGAATATCCATCATTTTGAACAAATCAAAAATTATGTTATGTATTTCATTATACTGCGTTTGGTTAAGAGATTTGAAGAGGGATTTAGAAAGGAAAATGGAAAAGAAAACAAAATCATAGGAATAACTCAACAAATTTATGCAAAGTAAAGTCGACTCACCAGAGATGGTTGCAATTCGAAAATTTTCTTATTATATAGTAGTATTAGTCAAAAATATTTTAAAATTATATAAATTTTTTTATATAAATATATGCCTTAGTGCACAATTTTTTAGGTGTACACAGTCGGAGATTTTAGGTCCTCTTGTGGCAATTTAATGTATCAATCCATTTCTTTTTGTTCAACAAGGCCACAACAAATCTTTGAGTTCCTATTAAAATATAAAGTTGATAGACCATTTTTTTTTTTTTGGATAAATAATAGACCAATTGAATAACAGCAATTTGTTATGCGATCGCCTGCTATTATCAATAGCTGATCCTCTGCAAACAATGATTAATGCAGGCTAATTCAGTCATAGGGTTTACTGCAACTATCCATCCCGAGTTCTCTGAGGAAAAAAGAAAAAAGAAAAAAGAAAATCTACATCAACAATGGATGCAGAGGTTAATTAGCATACCTAAGATCCCAAGTAATTACAACAGTAACAACTTTAAACTCTTGAAAAAGAGGATGGTTGCTGCATCAATGCTTGGGCGCACAGATATCTAATATCCGTACAAGATTAGATCAGTAAAATAAAACAGAATCTTCAAAACTGAAAATTGTGGATCTAACTCTATATATACAAATCTGCGAAAACAAATCAGTGTCTCATTTGAAGTCTCGGGCAAATCTAGAAGAAAATTGATTTTGCTGGGAATCACTCGGAACAAACACAGGAAGCTGTCCACCCCTCTGTGATCGGCCCTGCTGGAAATAACTTGACGTGGGACCGACACCTCTCTCTGGAGCAGCAGCAGGCAGGGAGCTTCCACTTATTGGCTCTCTGTTCGATTGTTCATTCACAACAGGACCACCAAAGAATATAGATTGACCCGTGTACATAAGCTCTGTTCTTGAAACTTGAGAAGAACCAACACTTCTGGTAGCTGCAGAGACGAACCTCCCAGCTTCCTGATCCCAAAAAACAGAAGACCTTGAGTTTTCTGCAGCTCCCGAGTTGTTTTTCCTTGTGAGTATCTGTGATAAATGATCACTGACAGCAGTTTCATTCCTGTCACCTGCTTTTGCTGACCATTGAGATTGATCCGCTGATGACTGATACATTTGGTTGAACTGATCTCTGTTTGAAGTCCGCTGCTCCAAGGGAGAATGGGTGAGGTTGTTGGTGGGATGTGGACTACTTAGATTGCTAAGGCTGTGATCACAAGTTTCAAGATCTTCCCGGCTAGCATGACTAGGAGGATACGACCTCTTGGAAGATGTCCCAGCTCTAGCATTTCTGTCTTGAAATCCTTGATTGGTACTGACCGGACTGCTTCTGCCACTCACATTGCTACTTGATAAGCGATCACCATCATAAGGATGATGTCGAGAACTTACTGGGCGTAGCACAGATGATGAAGCCCGGGCCTTAGCACCTGCTTTGATTGCTTCATTAGAATCCAACTTCGCAAGCTTCCATGCACTGATTCGGACTGGACGCTGGGGTATTTTCCCCTTGTCTGGTTGTATTGCATCTGGATCCACTGTAGATGGTAGACGTCCTGGCTGCAGATGTGGGATAATTTCATCCTGCTCATGAGATACCAAAAACAAATGAACATTAAGCACAAACTTTTGGAGAGGTATTAACAACATATTTTCATATATGAATAGGTAGATGTGTTTATGCAAATGTATATGATTGTGATGATTCCTCCTCTCACCTGTTCTTCAAGATAAACCTCAAGCGTCTTACATCTATTTTTCAAATATTGTTAAACTTGTCGATAAGTTCTGTAAACCTGTTTCTTCCACACTGAAAGAAACCCGTACCCCGACATCCAAAGTCAGTCTTGACATGTTGGAGAGTTGAGAAGAAACGTCAATCAAGCATCCAAAATTAAATTATGAGTTCTATATTTACGTAATAGACGTCTCCAAATTACATGTGCAGCACATGCAATGCTCTCTCTTGAAATGTTGGTGTTTTTTAGAAAGCATATAAGAGTTCAGAATTGGAATCAGTACCTGGTGGTCCATAAAGATTCTTGGAGGGGTACACCAAGCACCTTTATATGGCAGGCCAATCCCAACAGAGCTTCTTCCACTAATTGCAGTCACAGCAGAACTCGTTGGTGAAGAAGGCAAACTAAGCTGCTGATCTCCACCATCTACAGAGGGTCCAGGAGGTTCACTCTGTACCCTCAGGGCAACAACATATTCATATGTTGTGATGCCCTGCAGCAAAAGAATAAAACTCAGCTTCCACACACCAGAGAGAGAGAGAGAGAGAGAGAGGAGGCTAAGAGACAAACCTTTCTAATCAGAATCATATGGAAAAAGAACAGTTCTCCCAGAGGTAGAATAGCGAGTAAAGAAACAGCCGTACATAGGGCCTGAAACAAAGGAACCACACAAGAATAAAGTTGATTTCAAGTGAAATCCCTGTGGCACCAAATGTAGCCACAATTGATATGATCTTTCACTCAAAATTTTGATGAGAAGAGAAATACGAGGCAAATAAATTCCCAAGATCTTAAAGTGACACACATTTACAGTACATTTGCAACCAAAACATAATGAAAAATCTATTACTTACGAAATTGCATACAGCTAAAAAATCATTCTCTCATTATTGTTACAGCAGGTACATAAAACACCTCATTTATATGTTTTTAAAGTTAAATTTGCAAGGATATTGCAACAACCATCAGTTTTCACAACCTTGTCTTCAAGATTTTTTGGCAACTCTTCATAAGAATCAACGAATGCAAAATGTGCAATTTTATTTGTTAGCAACAATAGAATTATTGACAGATGGTTGCATATGATCAAGCATTCTATTAGATGATTGATGAAACCAACCCTGGAATTTCCAGATCAGGGTGCTTTTGCACATCAATTGCAACACTACTGGTCAATCATTAAAACAAATTTACTAACCCAGTAGGAAGACCGACTCTCCTAATAACAGATAAAGATAATTTCTGAACATACAGAGATGCAACCACAGAGAGAGAGAGAGAGCTGCCCGCAAAGATGGAAGTATATATACCACAACAGTAGCAAAGGGGGCCCGGGAGAATCCATCTCCAAGCCTTCCAGTTATCTGATTTTCAGTGGCCTTACGATCAACAAAGCATCGGACAAGAACAGCAATGCCAACCCCAGATTCAACAAGAAGCTGATGCACATATGTACCCACAGACACATCCACAAAAAGAAAAAAGTTTAGTTGTGATTAAAAGGAAAGAAGTATTAAAAACAAAGCCTAAAAAAAGAAATGAAAAGAATAATCCCAATAAGCATCTCAAACTTACCCAGACAATGCTCACTCCCATAAGGCAAACAAATGTGATATAATTTTTCCTCCCCACACAATTATTTAACCACTGCACCACAAATTACCATTACCAAACATATATCATGACTTCGCCCCAAAATAGGAAAACAATGAACTGATAAGAAAAGCGAATTATCAGTTCACGAGGGAGATTCCCATTATAGATGTCAACTACAGTCACATAACAGCCATCAACAGATCTATATATTCATTCAAGGACCAAACACAATATCTCCCTAAGCATATTGATCATATGATCATAAATGTTTACTCAAAGGTCTTTACCTGACAAAGTTTACAATAATTAGAATATTATACTTACCCGGCAATGATGATCAAATCCATCCACACATTTGTCGCAGCTTCTGCAATGTTTGCTGAATTTGCGTACCTACAGAAGAACAAAAACCACATTGGAATGAGTGTTCTCGTCTTTCTTGTTCCAGTAACTGAATTGATATCAGATCCGAGAATTTGAGTTTCTACTGGGGATCATATGAGGTATGGCGTAGACAAACTCTCAAGTTTGATTAACATATCTACTCTCTCTATTTATTTAATTTTTTCTTTCTCCCCTTTGTTCTTTCCTTTGATGCCCAAAGGCGAGAATTTGACTATATAATTAATCGGGAACAACACAAATAAGTGGTAAAATTGTTTTGAAATAGGTTTAGTGTTTTGTTTTTCTTTTTTCCTTTTTGGTGGGGTGGGGGAAATCAAATGGTAAATCAGAAAGAAATGTCGACAAGGCAAAACTCAAACCTAAACTATAATGCTTAGGCATGAAAATAGGCTTTCCTCCATCCTAAATTGGGAGGCACAAAGTGGAGAGAGAGAATAATTTGGAACCCCCAAATGGAGAGAGAGAGAGAGAGAGTGAATTATTTTAGGATGACCTCTACATGTGAGAGTCTATAAGGCTATAATAATAAACTAACACCAAATCACTTCAAGAGGCTCAAAGCCTATGCCAGCAATTGAAGCAGTGTCAACAGTGTTGCCATCTCAAAAACTTGAGCTGAATGAGCTCATTTTCTTTTCTTTTTTCCTTCCCATGTTCTTCTTCTTTTTTTTATCTTTTTCTTTTTTCTTTTTTTTTTTTTTCATTTTCTTTATTTTTTTTTTCATTGTTATTGTGATTTCCAATTGAATTCCTAAAAACTCTAATAGAACAACCCTTGTCTCTACTTATTTCTTTGTCAAGAGAATGAATTTGTCACTTAATAAGATCAAAACCCAACAAATTGTACGATATAGAAACCCAATGAACTTCATGAATCAAAATTCTTTACCTCAGCATGACACAGTGTACAAAACAAACCATCTTCTTCTCCAGATATTTGCTGCAGAAGATCTTCATCTTTTCGGCAATCTTCATGAGCAAGACAACCACAAAAGAATCCTCCAACTTTTGAACAACAGCTTGAACCATGGCTATAAGTTTTTCTTCCATTCTTAAATCCTACACTACTAGGTTCCTCAACAGAAGATGCATTCCCTGATCACAAACCATATATTTTAATAAAAATGAGGAGAACAGAGCAACAAAGTGATTTTAACTCCTCATCTTAAATTACCCTTCTACCCCCTATAAAAGACAAAATCCAGAGAGCCAGGACTTGTGAGAAATCCAGGAAAAAAATAATTGGTGATTGTAACCCTTATTTACAAACAACTTCTGAGGAGTGAGGAGCATTGATCACTTTCCTTTTCAGATGGTCCAAAAGGGACATGGGTAGGTGTTATAATCATCCTTGGAGGATCCATCACATGGTGAACTTACACCCCTCTGACTATGCATATCTCTAATAATAGAATTATATTAACAGAAAAAGCACTAACCGGGTAAATCTGTGTCATTTTGCGATCTATAAGCTGATGTCTTGTCAGCTTCAATCAGAATTCCAGGATCAGCAGGATCAATAGCTGTGCATCTAACATAGAGTGTAAATACACTGATTGCCTGAAGATAGAAATGCAAACAATAAGATATAATGAATAAAATGAGCAAGGGATACCACTGGAATTATAACAAAAGTAACCAAATGGTAGGCCCCATAGCATGCTTACCAAGGTCGAATAGACACCAATGGCCACGTATTCATAGATGTTCTTTCCAAGAAAGGGAGCAAAAAATGCATAAAATGCAACAGATAACAAGAAAAATACTGTTATGGCCACAACCTGTGCATCAAGGAAAGTGAGAATGAGCAAAAAGGATTCAAATAAAAAAGAAGATATGAAATCATCACAGGATCAAGAACATGATCTCAAAAGTTCATAAAATATATGTCAGGCCTTGATAAAAATCTGCTTTCAACCAACCCCGCCCCCCCAAAAAAAAAAAAAAATTAATAATAATAATAATAAAATCCATATCGCACCAAAAAATGGTGATGGTTCGTGGATACCTAAAAGAATATGCATAGGAATATGATGCTAAAGTTTTTCCTTTCATACTGATCTTACTGATACTTGAATAAACCAATCAAGATCACTAAACTGGCGTGGATGAAACTTGCAATAAACAAAAGTTATGACAGACTGGGAAAATCAAACAATATATGTTAAAGATTTTACACTAATTGACAACACTAGTAAGAAGGAGTGGTATTCATTCAGATCAAGTGAGTTGACTAGCAATTTAAGGTCGCCCTAGTGAAAATTTATGTAGCAGGTAAAATAATGGTTACCTATGATCTTCTTCCCAATCAATAATTTATGCAATTTTCACAAACACACACATGAAGCATTTCAGAAGCATGTTCTTTCTATGATAACGCTTTCTCGATGGGATTTTACAGTCTCACCAATTCTCCATGATTTTTATCACAAAATAAAATATATGCATATACATTTAAATGCCTCCCACAACATATAATTCCTGCAAGACTCACACATTGTTGATTTGAGGAATCAAAAGCAAAAGCAAAAGCAAAAGCAAAAGCAAAAAAACAAAATTGGCCCAACAAAGAAAAATTGGTCAAAAACTTGATGATTTGTAAACTAGATGAGAAATAATGGAAACCCATGAATCAAAAAACTCCACAGATAAGACTCAACTTACACAGCATATATAAGAGAAACCCAAAAATAATTCAAAACAAGAAACATTTATAAATCAAACAGCAGTGTTTTGAAATGTTACAAAAGATAAACGAACTAAAGGTAAACCCGCATACATAAGAGCCAAAAAAACCAGGAAAAAAAATCCACATTTTGAATTCCCAAGAAACCAAAGGATGAAGGAGGGGCCAAGAACAACGAACCTGAAACGTGTGAGCAGGGAGTTCCCAACCATGACGCCTAGCCATGGTCAAAAATCGAGTCCAAACTTGTCAATCAACAGTATCTAAACTCAAAGAACTTATATTAACTAAAACAAGAAGACAAATCTGAAACGAAAGCTCAGTCTACTGGTTCAGAACTGGTCGAAGTCTTGCTTTCTCTCTCTTCCTTCTTGACAGGTTTCGATCTCGACCCAGATGTTCAAAACAAAGTTGAAGACGAACCATTTAAGTGCATTTGAGTTTCTAGGGTTTGAGCAGTTCGATTCATCGATGAATGAGCCATGGAAGTTGAAGAAAAAAGTCTTGTGAGACCAGTTCTCTTCTCTAACAATAAGGTTTTTTTTTTATCTGACATTTCTGCAATTTTCGGTTATAAAGGCAGAACAAGACACTCCCAAAAATACTAGTGGATTATGACACTGCTTGAGCCGGCTGTGTTGATTTATCTATCATTTATGGGTTTTTGAAAGTGAAAAATAAAAATAAAAATTTAAAGAGTATAAGATATTTTTTTTATAAAGAATTTTTTGATATTTTTTAAATAAGTGTATTTTTTTAAATTATTTTTTTTTTGTATTTTTTCATAATCCCTAAATTTAATAAAATCTTATTGAAATAAAGATACTATTCAATATTTTCACATATTTTCAATTTTTTTTTTTATACATTTCTTACTTTAGGAAACACAATTATTATTTATTAGGATAAATTACTGTGTACCCCTCATTTGTGCCTTATTTATAATTTACACCCCTACGTGGTGGTTATTGGGTGCTCTTAAAATACAGTCACATGGTGCTCTAAAGTGTTATGATTGGTAAAGAAGATAAGACTTATGAATTTGTGTCGGGTATGAAAGGGCATGATGTATGATAATTAGTGTTGAACCATGAATGTGTGGCGTTCCAGAGTATTGAATAATTTTTTCTAAATATGATGTTAACCAATTTTTATTTTGGTAAATGACCAAAGTAACATCTAGTTTTCCATGAAAATAATAGAAAATGAATCTACTGATAAAAGTTACAGATTCGATTGGAAGAGAGAATCTTATAATATCGTAATTATTTATGATTATCTTGATCGATTGATCTTTTTATAAATTAGATTATTTTGTATCAATCTTTTAATATTAGTTTTAATGAAATTTTATTAGGAATGTAAAATTGTAAATAAAAAATTCTTATAATCTTTAAGTACATTTTAAAGCACTGAATTTTATTTATTTATTTGTTAGATAAAGAAAGATACAAGGTACAATTAGTGCATGGCAAAGAGAACATGAGGGCATACCTAATCCAAAGAAGAAATACATACAGATGAGGAGGTTTTTGATAATTATACCAAGCTAGATAATAAATTGCAGTTTGACTGGTAGTAGTAGGGATGCCTTTAGCTTAGCTGTCCCTACCATTACCATTACAAGTAGTATTTTTCTGTCAAGCTTCACATCTCATCAGAGAGTAGGAATGGAAAGAAGACAGAGGGTATGGGGGAGACAGGGTATGGGATAGACAGAAATGTGTTGGGCGGGAAACTTTGATACATTTTGATATAAACCATTGATCTCAACCATTGATATATATTTGGAATTGATCTCAGCCATTGGATCAAAATGTATCTCACATACATTTTGATACATTTTTCAAAAAGCTTTGTGTCTTATTATATAGATGTATATATATATATAAATTGAGAAAAAATATCTTATTAGATATCTAAATATGAAAAAGAATATTTTATAAGAGACTTAACTATAGCAATACTTACCATATATACATTAACATCCTCTCAAACTCAAGATCAAACTCAAGTAGGATAAACATCTTGAGTTTGGAGAGATAAACTAAAATATGAAATAAAAAGCAAATAGATTGCAAAATTCGAACCGGAGTGCAAAGGCGCTTGAAATAGATCAGAGACCGGAACTAATGCCGAGAGACAGTTTATGGTAGTGCGGACCATGTAAAAACTGGCTGAAACTAATGTCAGAACAATTTAAGGTCGTGCCAAACCGATATAGAAACTAGCTAAAACTAATGCCGAGATCAGAGGCCGGAGCTAATGTCAAGGGACAGTTTATAGTCATGCCAAACCGTTGTAGGACATAACCGGAAGCAATGTCAGAACAATTTCCAGGGTCATGCCAGACCGTTGTAGAGATTGGCTAATCGGAATCAATGTCGAGACAGTTTAAATAAGCCATGCCAGACCGATGTAGAGAACGAAGGTTAAACTAGCAAGCGTGGCACATGCATAACTTATGAAGTGATGCTGAACAATGATAGCAACAGACGACTGAGTGCACCAAGAGGCAACTTATGAGAGAGTGCGCCAAGAAGCAGCTTAAATGATGCGCCAATAAGGCGGCTTAGAGAGTGCGAAATAGAAGACGACTTTATAGGGAGTGCACCAAAAATATGGCTTAGAGAATGTGCCAACGGAGACGGCTTAGGGAGTCTGCATGGTGTATAACTATGCTCCCCATGATATATGTATAATAACCCCCCTCAAACTCAAATAGGTTTGAAGGTAGAAACCTATTTGAGGTTGAAGCAGAAGGAAAGACAGAGTGAACTAGAAGTAAAAAAAATATATATATATTACGAGTAAGAAAACAAAAAAAAATAAAAATAAAAATATGATAAAGATATTTGGGGTAGAACTAAACCAGCAGACAAAGGAAAAGATCACCATGAAGCGATAGTAATAGGAAAACATGACAGCGGAATAGGTTGAGGTCCGACAGGAGGCCAAGGCAAGGTTGCCGCTCGCCGATAAGGTGAAGAACACCAAGAGCTTAACCTAAAACTCTGATACCATGTTAGAATAGTAGAGAGAGAAAGAGAGAAAATAATATGTATTGTATTGAATAAATTGTATTAAATGAATTGTCTTATGTAATAGAAGGCCTGTATATATAGGCTGAGAATGAATATCCTACTAGAAATCTAACTATGAGAGAGAGTATTCTATAAGAGACCTAACTATGGCAATACCTAATATATCAAGGAAATCAATACCTAATATATATAAAAATATATACCATATATACATTAACCGCAACTATGGTTAGAATCTTGTGTGAGTAATTTTCTTACCACACTGCCCGCCTAGTAATCAGCTGGAGAACACCGGCAGAATAGATGGCTCCAGTAACCTGTAACAGAAAGAAAGGGCTCCGGCGGTGGCTCCTCCACCCGAGGGTACTCCGACGATCAAGTCAGTATATCTCTCAAAGATAATCAAGTGCTAAACTCACAAGTTTGAGTATAAAACTACGTACCTTAGACCTATGGGGGTGCCTCTCTTTTATAGTTAACTCAATCCAAGTCCTATTAGAAACATGACTTCTATAGACTTTAATTTAGTGATTACTTAGGATTTCTCAAGAGATAAAGATAAACTCCCTAAGAGCTTTATCATTATCTTGGCTAAGTCCCCTCTTTGTCCTAGGACTCTTGTCCCTTATCCGCTTATCTCGGATTCCGATATCTTCGGAGACAACCTCGGCAACTCCGATATCGTTATTGTTTATTTTCTTCATAAACTCTCTTTTGGAGAGCATGTGATCACCAACATCCTTTAACATCTAAAGTAATCATGGTATTTTAGCTATGAAGCACGGGTACTCTAAAAATAGTGTCGTATAAGTACCGGGTACTTACCGGGTGTGGGTACTCGTACCGGCACAGCTGCACACGTACCGGGTACGACAAAAAAGGGTTTGATATGTCGTCGTCATGCCACGTGTTGGTACCCAAGAAATATATCCCTACAACTGCCCCCTAGGTTCTATTACCTCGGCATCTTGAGGTGATGAAACCTACATCGATATTTCTTTCTGCATAGTGGCTCAAAAACTGTTTGGCCGAAATAATTTATTTTTAAGCCGATGTGTTCTCTTCGGAGAACAAGAATTCAAATGAACTCCATCACGCGCATGAGCTGTCATGCACATCTAACCGTTCCTTTCACGTGCTTTGTCTTTATTGGCCCGTGTCTGTGACGCGCCTACAAGCTGTCTTTTATTTGTCTGCGCCGTCTGACGTATCCGGTGCTCCAGGCGCAATAAATGCCCTGTTTTGCCGCCGTTTTAAGTTTTTTACAAACATTTTCTTTCCCTTTTCTTTTCTTCACTTTTTGCATTATGATTTCTTGTTTTCTCTCTCTCTAAAAGCTCTAGCATTCTTCGAATCCGCCATTGTTCTAAGTCCCAAATTATGTGATCATCCTTACTCTTCCATTTCCGTGAAGCTTTCGCTCCTGTTACAACTGTCGTCTGGTCTCGGCGAATATTGCTTCGGCTTCAGTTTATCCGGTAAGCAACTGGCCCCCTTACCCTCTTTTTCTAATTCTTGATTGTTTCTAAAGTTTCTTGCTATTACTGTTCTATTTAAGTGTTATTCGTGAATCATTCACCTGAATGCGTCTTATTTCATGATTTTATGAACACTTGCACTGTTTCACTACTGTTCTTGGCCCTTAACCCTTTGTATTCTTCGTGTTCTTGATAGCCCATCCCTGTTCTTGTCTTTGAAACTTTCGCTTTTGTTCTCTGTTTTTTGTTTTTTTACCAGATCTGTGCCCCCAATCTTCATCTTTATAATTTTAGGTTTGGGATTTGTCTGTAGAACCTTCAATCTTTAGGAAAAACTGAAACAAACTTTACCAGCCCTTTCCCAGGTTTTGAAACCGAGGTTCTAGCAACCCTTTTGAAACACCTATTTTCTGAAACACAGCTTTCTGAACTTAGGCCGACGTTATGGGTATGTGGAGACATCGAGTAAATTCCCCAACAAAACTTGAAAACTTTAGGCAGGAGTTCTCCATCCCAGCCGATGTTCACCTTAGGCTTGCTGGGGACGGCGATTCCATCATGTCCACAGATCATACGATGCCTTTTCCTATTGTAGCCTTTACTGAATGTGGACTCCGGCTTCCACTCAATCCCCTCTTTCGCGAGGTTCTCCACTTCTATAGGTTGAACCCTATGCAACTTACCATCAACTCTTATCGAGTGATTAATGGTATCATAGCCCTGGCTAGGCAAGAGAACGTTAGGATCACCCTTGCCGATATCCAATTTTGTTATACCATGTGCCCCCTTAACCTGAAGGAAAGAGGTTATGTCTACTACCTCAAGCCGAGGTCTACCGAGTTCAAAATTGTAGCCGACCTCCCGGATTCCAATAAGGGAGCCGGGGATGACTTTGTCATTGCTTCGGGAAATTGGGAATTTCGCCCAGACGAAGATGTTTACCTCTACCCTCTTCCTCGAACAGTTAAAGAGGGTAAGGGTAAGAGCCCAGTGCCAATACTTAGTTATTCTTTTTCCAAGTCTTCAAAACTTTGTCTGTTTTTAATGACTGTTTGCTTGTCCTGCAGATCTTCATCAACCACCAAAAAACTTTCGCCAATC